ATTAGCATTAGGCGGCGTGGCACCTCCCATATAAATTAAATTCAAAAATTCGTTTATCTTGGAAACTATTATAGTTAGAATATTAAAAATTTCCACGAGTAACTTTAACATCCATTTAAACATTTTGGGAAATAAATTGGCGGACTACCCATGAGGGGAGCAGTACCTCCCATATTAACCTATATATATAAAAATGAATGTGTGTTTGTATGTATGTATGTATGTATGTATGTATGTATGTATGTATGTATGTATGTATGTATGTTTGTTTGTTTGTTTGTGCTTTATAGACAGCTAAACGGCTGAAGCGATTTCCTTGAAATTTTCAGAGTGTCTTCAGCTATGTCCGGAAGGAACTATAGGCTACCTTTTGCTTTGGAATTTCAAGTAGGCGAGATGCCACGCCCACCTACAAAATAAATAGTAAAAGTCGCATATCTCAGAAATTGCAACAGCTAGAGTCCTCAAATTTTGTATGAACAACTTTGACATTCATATGAACACATGTTGACAAAATGGGCAGCATAGATACAGTGGGCGTGGCACCTCCCGTATAAAGAAAAACTTAAATTAGTATATCTGAGAAAATATAACAGCTAGAGTCCTCAAATTTTTTCGGAGCCACTGTAGTATCGACATGAATATTTAGGATGGAATACCAATAGGGGGCGTGGCATCTCCCATATGAATTAAATACCAAAATTCGTTTATCTGGAAAACTATTTGAGTTATAATCTTAAAATTTTGCACGAAGACCTTTAACGTCCTTATGAATATTTGCGAGAAAAATATGCGGACTTTCATAACCGGGGCTTGGCACCTCCCATATGAATCTATCTATCTTCTATATATATAAAAACTAGCAAAAACCCGGCGTGCTTTGCTACTCCTGTCGATATAAAATAAAAAATATATTATTAATATATTGATATACATTTTTTGTTTATAAACATTTTATTTTTATAATTAATTTTTTATAATTTTTAATTAATGATATTTATGTACATATATTATTTCTTAATAATTGTTTCTTACAAGGAGGATTTTACCGGAGAAACCTTTCTCATCTCATTAATTTTAGCTAAAGTTCGATCGCAAAAGAATATTTATTGCCTTAGCCATTGCGTCATCAGGTATTGCAGCAACACTTTTAGATTATGCACTCAAATTACCGTTGAAAACATAATTTTCTGAAGATTATACATGTAATGTTAAGAAAAATTCTTCAATGGGTAAAATCCTGCAAACATATAAAATAATAGTGTGGGATAAATGCACCATGGCTCACAAAAAATCCTTAGAAGTGCTTGATCGCACTTTAAAGGACATGAGAAGTAATTTTAATTTATTTGGAGGTGCATTAAACGGTTGCAATTTCCTATACGTTTGGCATTCGCGATGACAATAAACAAATTTCAGGGTCAATCCCTGCAAGTGTGTGGAATAAATCTCGAAAATCCATGCTTCTCACATGGTCAGCTTTATCTACGCGCCTGAGGGGAAAACGAAAAATATTGTATATCCCAAGGCTTTAGAATAGGAAATAATTATTAAGAAAAATTTTAATTGTAAATATTAAGTCAATTATATTTTAGTAATTTTGTAATATTTTGTAAATTTATGCTAATGAATAGGAATAAGAAATAATATATGTACATAAATATCATTAATAATAAAATACTTTAAATATCAAACTTTATTTGTCTTATTACTTTATGGTTTTGGATAGTGACAAACAAATATTAATAAAATTTTTATAAACAAAAAATGTATATCAATATATTTTGAACATTTTTTATTTTATATCGACAGGAGTAGCAAAGCACGCCGGGTTTTAGCTAGTAGGTACATAAATTTAAATTTTATAAAATTTATATTTTTTAAATACACTATGGTGAAGGGTATATAAGATTCGGCACAGCCGAATATAGCACTCTTACTTGTTTTTAAATAAACTTGCATAATTTTAAAATAAATATAAAAAAATATATATTTTTTCTATAACAAAATCGTAAGACATGGTATTTTAACTTACAAATGTAAATAGGATTGTAATCTACATACATTACATTCTTATTTGCAAGCGTTTATATGCGCCTCATTTTCTTCGCTTAGAACTCCACACATTATGTAAGTTAATTTTAATTTGTGTTAATGATATTGTGGCTTACATTCTAAGCGAGAGCACATCGATGAGGCAGCCTAGGACACTTTTATGTTAAATCTAAGTGGAAGAATAAGTGAAAGCATCACCACTGACTGCCACGAAATATCACTTAGATAAGCGAGTACATAATGTGTATTTTTACCGCTGGGTTGTTAATTGATAACAAGAGAGAACAGAACCAACTTTTTCCTACATTTTGCAAAATCATAAATTTTGTAACAGCATATTAGTGAATATATTTTAAGGAAAAATTAAAAGAAAAATATACTTATTTCAAATCGCGTTTTTCTAACAAATTATGATTTCAATAATTCATGATGATGTTTTTAACATAAATTTTATAATTATATATTTTTTGTAATTTCTATTTTGTTGAAATTGATTTTATACTCAAAATATTTTGAGCAGACAAAATACATAAAATTCAGAAAGTTTGATGAAATAAATTGAAAAAGTTAGTAAATATTTTTTTAAAATTTTTAGATTTTATTATAGCCTAAAGTGTATTTTATGAGAAACGTTAAAAAAAAAACAATATTTTCCTATATTTTGCAAAATTTTAATTTTTGCAAACAGAGTTATAAATACTTATTAATTTTTTTTTTTAATTTGAAGCGTTTTATTAAGACTATTTTCAAATAATTAGGCTCAGCTAAATACAAATATTTATATATTTTAATCCTAGAAATCATTATTTGTTTATATTTATACATATGTTAATGAAAATTTCTATTTATAAATTTCTATTATGAAATTCTATTTATAAATTATTTTTTTCATTCTTTATCGCATGATTTCTACAACATTTTTGCACAAATAAAGTTGTTAAGAAAATACGTTTTTGCGAAAAATATTTTTTTTGCAAAAAAACGCGTTTCTGACCAATTGAAAAGAAATATTTTTTCATTAAAATAGCGAATTAACACATGCAATGACAATTATTAAAAAAATCGAATAGTTGTGGAAACAATTACATATTATTTGTACACTAAACTTGAGCAGCTAGTAATTCTGCTCTTGTATAGTATACATTGAGAAAACAGATTTTGCGAAAACTTCAGTATTACGGCTTAATTACAATTGGAACCACAACTGCTGTCGACAATGAGTTTTCATACATTTTGTATGGAGAGCAAAATATCGTCTTGTGGTTGGCGATATTGTGCTTGAGATAGATTCTATTTTACTTTTATTGCGCTCTCTAGCGATCCTCTTATTGTTCTCTTATTTTTATGTTGTAGAGTTGCCATATGTTCATAATATTTTGCTAAAAATCATGCAAAATTGCAAAAACAGGGTTGTTTTAATGTTGTTTTTTTAACCGAAGATATTGCATGAAATAAATATAAATTAAAATGAGAAAACATATTATATTTGATCCCGTATTTTGTTGTGAATAATTTTTTAATCATTCCTATTTATTTCTTAAAAAGTAATTATAATTTAAAAAAAACATCATTTTGCATTGATTCTTTGTGGTCTGTCGACAATCGCTTAATTTTAATTCGTCACTCGCTCTTTTTGTGTGGTTTGTCGACAGCGGTTCCAATTATAATTAATCTGTTACTTTGTCGAATTCAATAAATTTTGGTATGGATATTTCAGTATGTTGGACAAATACATAAACATAATTACATACAAATATTTTAGGTTTTAAAGATTTTAACGCGTTTTAAAAGGATATATGAGAGCTATAAGAGTCCTTGCTCCAAATTATGAAAAAACCAACATGTTGAATCCTGATTAATTATATGCATATTATTATTACAAAGTTTCAGAGTTTTATTGAAAACTTTGTGCAAAATATCGCTATTTTCCATTTAGGGATATATGGGAGGTATATGAATCCTTCGACCAATTTTTTCTAAACTTCGAATTTTTCTAACTATTCCATTTTACAACATTGAGCCAAAATTTCGAAACCCTATAATAAATCCTTCTATTTTTGTCCAATGAATGTATGAAAATGAATAACTTTGCGCAGTGACCGATATATCAGTCCAATTAATACTTCTTACTGAAAATCCTTGTTAATAAATCGTTTAGAATAAACCAAAAATCAAAGATAATCAATATCTTCCGTTCTTAATATATACCATTTAATGAATAATCATCACTAACGAAGCCTATTGGAAATGTCTGAATCACGGCACATACAACCGGGATAAAGTATAGCTTTAGAGCTTATAATGGAGTACAGGAAACATTTAGGTAATTCCAACACTACTCCACTGCAAACATTATTAGAGAATATGGTTCGTTTTGTAGTCCTATGTAATATAGGCATGGACTATGTTCATTATTTTTGAAAACAACATAGTCCATAACCTGCATTCCATAGAATCATGTATTCCCATTATTTATCCAAGGAGTATTTTTGGTCTGATTTGGGGGTAGCCCCCTTACATATTATTGTTATATTATTTCTCAAATTTAATGTTCATTAAAAGTATGTATGTAGTTGTGTTTAAACTGGACAATCCTCTCATGTGTATTTAGCAAAACAAAATTTAATTCAAAATAATAAATAAATCGATAATTGTAATAGGGTATATTAATTCAAAAGTACTGATAGTTAAATAACAAACAAACGAAATATTAGTAAATATTTGATTTCGTTCGAACTAAATTTTATCCCGGATGCATAAGTCATATATATACATATATATCTTAAATATAAATTTTGAAAATATTAACAATATAATGAAATCACAATTTATTTGCGATTCTGCGCAGTACCATTCTTCACACAATAATCGATATAACACAAAAACTTAACTTCGTGCTTAATTTATTAATTTGTATTATCATATAAACACATATAAAAACTTACATGGTTATTTTTATTTAAGTTTTAATTCAAAATGGTAATCAGAATTTTAAGTTCCAAAGTATATTTTTTTATTTTAAAACGGTTTTAACACTGTTTTGTGAACAATAATAAGGACCTTTCTACCAAACAAATTGCTTAAACATAAAAACGATTTGTGACTACTTTACATTTGTGGGTTCTCCGAATACTGATAATCATTCATGAACACATAGTTCGTTACATTTTCACAATGCATATTTGAAGATGCTACGAAATGTTGTAATAAGGTGAATATCCATAAAGTGTTGTTATTCAATCAGCTGTTTTTTTTTTCTTGACTCGGACTCACTGACTACTCACTTAGCCCGAAAAAAAGGCGTTTTGTCGGATCGCTGTAATAAAAACTCCCCAGCGGAAAAAAATGCTATGACTTCGATTTTTAATCCTTCTCATTGCCTTCTCTCAGAAGATATTCCATAAGCACTTTGCCTCCCCTTGAAGCATTCGTGCACATTAAAAGTTACATTGCAAAACAAGGCCAAACAAATAATTATTAAAATTCAAACATGATTGGGTTTGCAATTATTTTCATATATTGGCTCCCCTATAAAAGGAGCCAAAACTACAAATGGAATTAATCCAAATATTTTAAATATTTGTGGATAAATTCAACCTCTTCAAAAAATATTTTTGAAAAAAACACATTAAACACATTTTATTTTTTTATTTTTTTGATTTTAAATATTTTTTTAAAGGCAGCTTATACAATTTTCTTAAAGAGCTTTATAGTCCAATAATGGGATGCGAGTGGGATATATTTTTTTAAATATTTGGCACTTAATTTTAATCTTTTCCCTATTTTTCCAAAATTGACGTTTTTTTTACTCAAAATAAAGCTGTGACCATTTCCTTTAAGAGTTTTTGACCCATTTTTGACAAAAAAAAAATAAAAAAAATTTTTTGGAAACAATTTAGAAATAGCAATCTGAACTCCTTTGGACAGTTTTTGTTAGGACACTCATTTAAATAAAACCCTGTACACAGAGGGAAAAATAAATATACACGCCTGGTACCAAATTGACACCAAACTGTTTATAATTTTTCAATACCAACGTTGCGTTGTCAACATTACATAGTGTTGTCGTACGTATGTATATACTTTGACAACGGATGTTATTGAAAAATTATAAACTCTTTGAAGTCAATTTGGTACCAGGCGTGTATATTTCCTTTTCCCTCTGTGTATGACCAAAATGTCCAACTTTGACTCCCTCTAAGTCCGCAGTTCTTGTCCTATAGAGCTGAAAATTTGTGTCTGGCCTACTATCCAATAGTACTTACTTGGTGCAAATTTCGTCATAATCGATTCGGAATTGCATTTAATCCGAAATGGTTATATTTTTTAGAACAGCTTATAGATTTTGCTATAAACCTCATTAATTTTAATTAGCGGGTTGGGTTAGCTTCGTCAATTTTTCTTGAAAGAAAAAACTGCGTTTTCTGCGCATGTGGAACTTTCATGAAAATTCTTTTGTGGGTAGCCAATAACAGATTGTTTATAATTATGTGCTGCTTCAATTTCTTAATTTAAATGAATAAATAATATAAAAACCGTTAAAATAAAAATCTATAAAGTTCGTAAATTAATTTCATACACATGATCGTACTTTTTTTAATGCACTTAATGCTTAATCGTACTTTTTTCTAACGGCTTATCGATCTTGGTATTAGCTTCATTGTCAACTACCGATTAATGTTTGGTGTTACCAATTTTAATTAGCGGTTTAGGTGTGCTTCGTCGAATTATCTTGTAACACGAGAAACACAGAGTTTTCGGCAAAAGAGATGAGAGAGATTTTGATGACATTATTTACAGTTAACATATCCCTGCTTATCTACAATTAACTGATTTTTTCACGTCTAAATTTAAATGAATTATTATTCAAAAAAACCGTTAAAATGAAAACCTGTTCGGTTCAATTTTGAGTGTGCTTCGCTTCTAACATCTTAGTATGATATAAATCGATCAATAATATTTTCGAAATTATTTTTTTTTTAATTCGCAAGTTTTTTACACATTTGGTGGATTTTTTACGAAATTTGAAACATTTTTTAAACTACTTTAAATTTCTAATTGATCTTCATTTATTTTCTTAAAATTTTAACCAATGCACATTGGTTCAAATCATCACTTTTTCAGTGCGAAATATAGATCGGCAAAATAATGAAACTCTTTAAAGTCTAAGATGGAGCATAGGCATAAATAGGTATATTAGAACAAATTTAAGCGAAAATTAACCCTTTGGTGGTTATTAACCCAATGTCTACATTTAAGATGACTTATATAACACAAGTTGTTTCATTTTGGAAGGACTTTTCATACGAGCGAAAATTCTTTAGAACTAATTTCCAGCTGTCTTTGCTTCCAAGCAGCGGTCGGTACTGCCCGAAATAATAAATCAGTTTTAATACAAAATTTTTGTCTTCCTTCCTATTGCAATTTTCCATTTTGTTGCTAAGAAATTACGAAAATTCGGACCTTTAAATACAGTAATTCCTTGCAAACACCATGGATAACAGGATGACAAAAACACATGTCTGATAAGCACATCATCCTTTCCGTAGTCCTTTAATCAAATTTGAAAATGCTTATAAAGTAGAACCCTAGAAAATATTAAATTACTCGAAACGCACAGAAATGCGCAATTTCGGGTAAAGTGAAACTAATTCACAACATTTCAGGTTATTCATTTCTTCTTATTTCAGGTTTAACAAACGTTAACATTTTCTTAAGCTAACATTTAAAAATCAAATTAAATTTTTTCAAGGTTATTTTAAATATTCTCTTTTTCGAAGTGCAGGAATATTATTTCCAACCATTTACAAGAATATGTACATATAAACTACTGACGCCTCTAAGTGCCATTTGACAGTTATTGAAATTATTTACACACTTTCCAGAATTAAGAAATTTTTTAAATATTTTAAAATGATGACTTTGCGTGCAGTAGATCAGAGTTTAGCATTTCGCAAAAATTTATTGCGAATTTGAATATATTGGTTTATTGGTAATAGGATGATATCAAAATATAAATTATATTCACCGTTCCAAAATTTGAATTTCGCATAGGAAAACTGGTAGTTTGAGCTATAGTGCAATCTCGTTTATAGTGGGACAAAATACGGAGCAGTTTTAAAAATAGAAAGTTAAGTTAATTATATTGTCACCTTTTGAATTTTATAGGAGAAGCAAAAAATTATTTAAATTGATAATTTTGTTTCTATCAGCGCTATATAATTTTATGAAATAAACAATTTGTTTAACAATTTATATATATTGTTACGCTCGGCTAGTATTTTCAATAATAATAAAAATTGTTGGCTTTTACGTTTTTTAACCGAAATGGACAATAGTGGTTAAGTGGCATGAAGATGATGTTCCCTGCTAGCTATTTGGTAGAAGTAACTCTTAACCCATATCCCGAAAGCGTAAGCATATAACATACTCATGCCATGCCTTAAAAAAAATACCACAGAGTATGCAAAAATCTAATAGAAATCTAACTACTTAGTAAAAGAAATAAAATAAATTTAAATTGAACAGACTAAACCATGACGAGATGACGTGTCATGTAGGGTACAATTCTCCCACCCAATTTGTAAACACCTTGACAGAAAGGTTACCCTTAATTTAAATTCTGTCCCTAACAAACATGACTTTTACTTACATATATTTACAATTTGTTTTGGCTATCCTTCCCATTTAAAAAAAAGAAGTTAATGATGATTCATTTTACGCAATTCAAAATATTTAATTTATTGAAAAAAAAAGTAAAGCAGAAAACAAAAATAAATAATGATATTCTACGCAATCATAAATACTATCGGCTGTATTTATTAAAACTTATTTTAGGTTTATTAAACAATTTTAGGCAAAATTCAGGAAAATCGTATTTATAAACGTGAAATAGCTTAAAACACCTTCAATAAACCATTGACAATTAGAAGAATTTTATTGCAGGCTCGACTCTTCTTTAAGCCAACAATAACTTGATTTTTAACAATTTTTTTCTAGATAAAGATTTTTCCGGAAATTTTAGGTTGATTGCGAAAAGTAATTATGGTTTCTTTTAAAGTAAAATCTAAAAATTCTACTTTTAACGTTTACAAATTTGTAAATAAAATCCCAGATAATTTTTAAACGATTATATTTTGGGGAAAAAACTCAAATCTAGGCATTATTGGATTAATGCATGAATATTTGACAATATTCCAATTGTCCAGCACTATTTTTAGGCAATTTGGAAATGCCCGTCTGTCAACCAAATGATGGACAAAATCATTTGATTTGGCTTTTTCAAAGTTTGTTGGTTAAATATAATGCCATAAAGTAATTAACCATGTAAATTATATTGATTAGTGTTATACTAATGCAAAATATATTCGCCGGCATTAAAATTAGTCAAATATCAAAGAAATTTATCAATATTTGCAAAAATTTATCAAAAATTACAAGGAAAATAAGTAAAAATAAGAAAATGTGTCATAGTGATGTATATTTTGTCGCAAAATATCCGTTATTCGGATACTTTTAATAATAATTAGAAATTATATGTTATATTTATACATCTGAACTAAATAGACATTTATTAAAGCCATACATATATTTATTTTTCTTAAAAGTTTGTTTTTATTGTCAAAAATCTATTATAAACAAAAATATGAAATTAAGAAAACCGAATCAACGAATATTTTATCCTAATTGTACGCAACACTAACACATAAAATGACAGCCATATTGTACAGTGCTGCCAACTTAAACATAAATCAGCACAATAGTTAATATACGTTTATTATTTGTTTATGAATATCACAATTTTATTAATGGTTTTTAAGGCTAAAGTGTGCTTTAACTATTGAGTGCATTAAAAGCAAAATAAGATTTTTTTATAAATACAAGCGTATATATGTAAGCATGTAAAATCATTACTCCAAAAAGAGAAATGATCTTAATAAAGAATGAGAAGAAATTAATACTACTTACTAATTGATATGCATTGGGACAAAGTTGAAACGGACCGACAGACAGATAAAATAATAATAATTGATACTTTTAAATAATAATTTTTCTTATTACTCACAAAATCATTATGATGATATGTTGCAATTCATGTTGTTCCTTGATGTTGGGCCCAGC